ATCAACCAACCAGGGTTTTGAACGCTGCTTTCCATATTGATCCAAACATTTCAAATTTCCTTAGAAGGTACGACTGAAGTCCTAAATTATATCCCGAACACTTCCTAAGAAACTACTTGGGTCCATAGGCGTACATAGAAAAATCTATTTCACAATGGTCTGACAAACCCATCATTCACCAGTCCGAATTCTGATCGTTTTCTGGAGAAAATTCCAAAAACTAAATTGAGTGGGTGATCCAAATCTATGCAAGGTCTATGTGAGGCCTATGCGGAGGAATGTCCCCCAAAAATATGTCCTAAAATGATCATGGCTAAGATGACCAAAAAAAACATGCTACCTGGACTAACGGACTATTTTTCAATCCAATGGTCACATGTTCAGTGAAACATCTACGCTCTCCATGCTCATCTCACCAGTTTCGGACGAGATGTGGACAGCTTATTGAACCGGCCTCATTGGCGGGTGAAGAAAAATTCAACAAGTGTGCCAAGGTGGTTCAGCACATCTGATGGCAAAAACCGCAAAAAACAACAAAAACACAGATTTCCACGGTTTTCATGAAAACTGGTGAAAAATAATTCCCCCTAAAATATTAATAATTCCATTAACCATGAATATACCGTTAATATTCCACTAACAATTATACCATTAGTAATGTCAACCCTGGATCAATAAACCCCAAACGGCTGTTTAATTGAGAGGGTACCATTAAAAAAAATACTTTACTTCGTGTGATCCCCACCATGACATTTATACATTTTCTTACTGGCAAATCTTCTGGCATTCTATCTGACATATCTTCTGACATTCTATTTGGCATTCTATCTGGCATATCTTCTGGCATATGATCTGGCATATCTTCTGGCATATCTTCTGGCATTCTATCTGGCAAATCTTCTGGCATTCTATCTGGCATATCTTCTGGCACTCTATCTGACATATCTTCTGGCATTCTATCTGGCATATATTCTGACATATCTTCTGGCATTCTATCTGACATATCTTCTGGCATATATTCTGACATATCTTCTGGCATATCTTCTGGCATATCTTCTGGAATATCTTCTGACATATCTATCTGGCATATCTTCTGGCATATTTTCTGGCATTCTATCTGGCAAATCTTCTGGCATTCTATCTGGCATTCTATCTGGCATATCTTCTGGCATATTATCTGGCATTCTATCTGGCATATCTTCTGGCATATCTTCTGGCATATCTTCTCTTTCTGACATTCTTTCTAACTTTCTTCTGCACATTCTTTGTCCCATATCTTCCTACATGAGGTCCGGCAGGGAACACTTGGCGTGGATACTCGCGGTTGAGGTCCGGCAGGGAACACTGGGCGTGGATGGTCGTGGTTGAGGTCCGGCAGGGAACACTGGGCGAGGATGGTCGTGGTTGAGGTCCGGCAGGGAACATTGGGCGTGGATGGTCGTGGTTGAGGTCCGGCAGGGAACACTGGGCGTGGATGGTCGTGGTTGAGGTCCGGCAGAGAACACTGTGGATCGCGGGTCGCAGTTGAGCAAGGACGACGAGGACGATGAGGACGACGAGGACGACGAGGAGGACGAGGAGGAGGAGGAGAGGAGGACGAGGCAGGAGGAGGCGGAGGAGGAGGAGAAGGAGGAGGAGGAGGAGAAGGAGGAGGAGGAGGAGGCAACTGACATAAAATCTAACAACCCTCACCTGGCAGGTGGGGAACAAATCAGATGAAATGACTATTGGAGGAGTACCTCCTAATTTTCATAAACCATGGTTTATTAATCCGGGGTTGTTCCCAATATATGGAAACCTAAAAAATGTTCCAAACCACCCACCAGATTAGTATACATTTAATATTCCATTAACCATTATACCATTAGTAAACCATTAGTGAATAATTCCGAATAAGACCCCAACAACCGATTCGCCACGTTCCACGCAAAAAATACCGGTGTTGATTCGAGAAATTGTCGGAAAGGGAAGGGAATAATTATTGGCGCCGCTCAAACGTTGGAGTGGCTGGAAGTTTGCAAAATCAATTTGCCAAGTACTTGTAGTGTGTTTATCCAGCTGGATACCCCAAAATTCTTATTTGAACAGTGGCTAGTTGTCGCTGCTAATCCCATGTTGTTTGATTACTATGCGGGTTCTACTATCCAATAACATGCAATTGTCTCAGGGATTATCACAATCCATTATGGGAAAATTTGTTACCCAATCATAATTTTATGGAGAATGGTGGCAAGGTGGTGGTTGCCAGTGATGTGAATGCTAGTTTACAGCCGTAAGAGTTAGTTCAATAAATCTACCAGAACCTAGCATAATCCAAACGCTATTGATGTTACCATGGGGCATCACATGTTTCATCAACCTGGAAAAATGGCCAACCTTAGATACCCTGCAAAAAATAAAACTGGTTGGTAGAAATGCCTATTTGCAGCAACAGATTAAAGGATTAAACTACCCATCCAAGGTTGACCTAAGTTGCACAGGATCGCACGATCTGAACCAGCCATGACTGGCACAGGGGCATCATTAAACTGGAGCAGACACCACCGACGTGCCCACAAAACGACATCCCACGGTTCGATTGCTACAGGGTACAGTACAGATCATTTTTGTGCCATGGTCAAAACACTGTATCTGTATAAATATATATATATATATAAATGTGTGTGTGTTTGTATCTGGGCATCAAAGGCACCGTTCTACTGAGTAGATCAAAGATGTTGGCACTCTTGTGGTGTTTGCTGAAGTGTATGCCACTGACTTGAGACCTTCGCAGACCTTTACAGTGGGGTGGACTGCTCAGCAAGTTCGTTACAAGACCGACAGTATGTTTCATCTTGGAGCGACCAGGCTCATTGACTGCAGAGCGTGAAGGTCTTACATGGGCCTTTCTGTCCCGCCGCTTTAGCGAGCCAGAGCCACAAAACATTGGAAAAACACAGTGAATCGCGACTTTTCTACCTTTTCGCGCGCCGGCATCTTCTTTCTTCTGACTTTTTTCTTCTCTGATCTTCTTCTTTATCACTTTCTCTTCTCTGACTCTTCCAACCTCTGCTTTTCCATCTGTTCATATTGTTGGAAGTTTGACTTTTAAACTTCCTTCAATGATTATCAAATGTGTATGTTTATATATTATATATACAATATCTACAGTATCATATACTCTCCTAGTTCTGGTCCGTACTAGTCCATATCACATAGTAAGTGTGAAAGAACCACAGGTAAAACTTAAGCAGCCACTGACTAGGTCCATTGTGGTCAGCCACCATTAAGAATTGGTAAATCATTCACCAGCCATTACCAGCTATTCTTCAAAGACAGCAGGTATCACCGCGACACAGTGACATGGACAAATACAGTGAAGTGTGTATATATATATATATATACATACATACATATATATATATATACATGCATATGTGATAATATGTGTGTGTGCAGTGTGTGTGTGTGTCTTCACATTGCCATTCTTAGATACCCTGCAAGAGACAAGATTCCTAGCTGCTTTGCAGATATTCCTCTATATAAAAAACAAAAACAATATCCAAAGATTCAAGGATGATTGTCCTATTTGGAAGTGCAGTTCCAATGAACTAAACGGAGATATATCCATAGATATGGGGGGAAAAATCTTCCAACTTATAGGTAGGGGTTTTTAAGCACACACTAATGAATACAGTAACCTCAGTCAAGTTGGTGGTACGAAAATTGTTGTAACACATGAATACCCGCAATTGTTGTCATGTTTTTACAATTGTGTCATGAATACCCGCAATGTTGGATAAACCACTCAGTAACTCATGAATACCCGCAAGTACCCATCAAGTTTTTTTTTGCCGTCGGTTGGTGGTTTGCCTGCCACAGATCCGCACAAAGCAGGCTCCCTGCCCTCTCTGCTAGGTGCCCAGGCTCGTTGCAGAAAAAAAAACGGGGCTTCCACCCAACAGTCATGGCCCTGTACCAGTTATTTTTATGGTTACAAGATGTTAGAAGTGAGGTTATCATTCCATAAATGGTGTATTATAGCTGACTAACAACTGGTAAAGGGCCAGAACTGTAGGAATCGGCAACATACGACATATTTCCTTGCTAGGATACTACAAGGAAATATCAAATAAGGTTTACAAATATGATTATTGTCTTACGATTATACATCTGTCACTAATTTATTGTAATCTATTATGATAAAGAATCAATGGATAAAAACCGAGTGACATTATAGGAAACTGATGATTGATAATTGGTAGTGATGATTAATGACCGGAAAAATGATTCATAATAACACTAAAAGCAAAAGAAGCTACTCGGTGAGGCCCCCCAGTGATGTTGGTCGGTTTATAAATGCTTATAACCTCTGGTAATTTAACATAACTATTGGACATGGCCCATAGAAATAGCTGATTTACCAATCAAAAATGGTGATGTTCCGTAGCTATATTAGTTTACCATATATATATATGTTATCCAATATAGATAGTTATAGTTTATATTAGTTTAGATAGTTTTATGTTCAATATGTATGTAACTATATATGTTAAATATTACTAATATAGATATAAACTAATATATTACTCATTTACATACATAGATAGATAGTTATCCCAATCCAATGCTAATACGTAACTTGGGATAACTAAAAGATACCTACCCAATACGTTTCCAATATTATCCTATGTTAATCGCATCTATATAAGTATGTATATATATATACACAATAGACTGGGATTACCCCAATCCAATGCCAGTTCAACATCGCCATGAGGTCATTCAATGTTGTCTGAGATACGACATTCTGATCCCTTTTTGACAATAGCCAAGCCGAGTAAGGAACAAAAACAAAAGTTTCCACAATGATCCTGAGTTTTATCGGACACCAAACTCTTCCATGTGAACCAGCCGATTTTCAGACTTTTAAATGCAGGTTTTTACAAGCCAAATCAGCTATGTCCTGGGGGCCTTTATAAAAAATCACAATTTTCTTTTGCCATGTTGGATTGACAGAAGGACAGGTCGTTCTGCATCTAAGGAAGCACCGTTTCAAACTCTGGGCTTTCCAGCTTGAATTTGAACATTCGGTTAATCCCCGTTTGACCCATTTCTAAAGGCAAATCAGACATTGCAGGCATGGCGTTCATGGTGTCCACGAAGAATCGTGCGTAGACCACGACAGTGGCCTTGGATTAGGCCCAGATTCAGGAGGTGCATTTCAGGTATAGTGGATGTACTTTGTTTAGAACCCATGTATGTGTAGATATATATAGATATATGTATATATACATATATACATATATACATATATACATATATACATATATACATATATACATATATACATATATACATATATCATATATACATATATACATATATACATATATACATATATACATATATACATATATACATATATACATATATACATATATACATATATACATACATACATACATACATATATACATATATACATATATACACATATACATATATACATATATCCATATATACATATATACATATATACAAATATACAGTACATATATATATACAGTACATATATATATATATACATATATACTTATATACATATATACATATATACATATATACATATATATATGTACATACATAACTAGGGTATACCGGGGTATAAAATGGGTATTATCACTGTATCCACTTACTAAGTGGGCACTGAAATTCTGCTGCTGAATCCTCTCCCAGGGTCGTGCCAGGGTCAAATTGTCAAGTTCCATGGGATGTTTGTCTGCATTGATAGGATATGGTCATCACACCAAAATTGGAAATCCTTCCGGTACAATTGTACCAAGTATAATATTGGCATATAATTCTATAATATTTGTATATAATTGGTGTATATTGTACTTGGCATGCCTTGGTACTATCCCCCTAATATTGGTATATAAACGTATATAATTATACAATGCAAGTTTTGACGGAATCCTGCGCGAGCGAAGTCGCAGCACCAACGCCCCTTCCCGGTTAAGGGGGGTACGAGGTGTCAGAAGGGTAGCCCGAGAATGAAAAGAGAGGGTGAACCATGAGACTGTACAACACGGATCAAGCCAAGCACAACTGCAAGCGGTTGACACACGGCCAAGGCAAGCACTCTGCAAAAAACGCGTGGTAAGCACAGGAGGTCAACGACAAGCCAAGCAACCTCAAATTTGGAAATTGTTCATTGGTCTCAGGGCCAGGTCAAGATGACACAAACAAAACACGCCGTAAGGACGACAACGGGCAGCCACATGTTGGGTCAAGCCACAAGTCAAGCTGGGAACACATTACCTGTCATGAGTTCATCTCTTCTCTACCGTTTTCACTCTTGCGCGTCTTTGGCGGATTTTCTTTGTTCTGTAAGAGCCAGGAGCCATCAAGGTGCCACCAAAAGTCATGTGGAAAGCCAACACGCGTTCATGGTCAACATCCAAGGCAAGACAAGTGAAGATGGGAAACTCCAACCCTGGCAAGAATCTCGAGGCATGGCTCCACCCCGAGAAACCACCGCAGAAAAGTCCAATGAGCTGGTGCAAGCCGTCGTCGCGACCTGTTCGACATTCTGGGGTCGGCATCACGCCACCTCCATCAGAGGACACATCCAACAGGTCAGTGAAGACAAATGTCTGAAGACAAAACATGGATTTGCAACCTTCAACAGCACACGACCACTGGCCCATGGTGACCATCAGCAAGTACCTGTCTGTCAAATCGCGAGGGCACCTTCCACGTGTCAAGCTAAGTGACCTAAATTGGTCCCGAACCAAGCTGTAGCGAGAATCCACACGGCAAGCCCGGCAAGCCAAGAAGACGCAGGACGTGCTCATCGAAACAACTTCCAAGTCAGTCAAGATGCAAGTCACTCGGTAATGGCATGGACACGCAACAGGCGACGGAGTGAGGTACTTCATCATTTGGAAGAATGGCCCAGAAGTTAACTCCATGGCTCAATTGGTGGGGCGCCACGCCACCCCTCCCACCTCGCTTCGAGGAAGCTTGAGCCTTGAGGCTATCCAAGTTTTGACCATGGCATATATGCTGCATTTATGGATATCTATGGTATATTTAGCCAGCCATTGGTGTCATTGCAAATGCAAATCCCATGAATCAAGCATACAGACCTTCTCCAACTTTCATAGTGGAAGATGGAACTCAACAGATTACGCAAACTGCATCAGTACTCATACCCAAATGCTCCATGTACGGAATATTTACCAAAATAAAAACCTGAAAATCACCCAAATGGAGCCTATCGGACACATCTTTGAACATGAAATGCTGAATGGCGGATGGAAACAAATCACAGGAACCCTTTGGGCGCCAAGGATGACCTTGGGGACCTAGAAAACCCATAGCGGCCCATACCGATTTCTGGTATTATTGGTGATCAACTGCTATGAAAAATGGGTTACTCAGCATCATTGTACCTTTCCCTACGGAAAAAAAAACAATATTGATACCAACTCCAAACCTGACAATTGATGTTTACATACATACATATCAAGTGTATCTCTGATCCATTTTATATGTTATAAATTACAACCATACATTCACGGCCATCAACTGACGTGAAAGCTCAACTGGGGCTCCTTCGAGAAGACCATCTGGCTCTATATCTGGAGATATTGGATTCACAATGATTCACACTCAATATGGATATTGATGAAATAAGAAATGTTTGACACTATATATTGGATTCTCCAGATATAGCCAGATATACAAATATTGATGTTTTTTTTTTTAAATATAAATATATATATATATATATACATAGATATTGATACATAGTGGATCAAAACTGGTTAGTATTCATAGTAAACAGAATTATATAATGATTGATATGATATGATATGATCTGTTATGATATTATATGATATGATATGATATGAGAAATATGAAATGTCACATATTATACATTATGTTATAAGTTATAAATTATATATTATATATTATGTTTACCTATGCTATACTTTATATGACAAATTCTATATTATAAAATATTATATGTATTGGATTATATGCTATATGTTATATATTATATTGTATATTGTATTATATATTCTATATTAAATATTATGAACTAAATATCGTATGTTAAATATTTTGTTTTGTATATTATATATTTGATATCATATGTTATATACTATAAACTATATTTAAATGTTAAATATTATATTATAAAGAAATATATTATCAGATATTATATACTATAGATAATATATATATATATAATAGGTTATATCTAAAATGTCAAATCTTATGTATTAAGTATTGTATATCACATATGTTGTATGATATATCATATACCTATGGTTGCCATTGAAAAATAATTCTACATATGAGATCCGGGACAACCGGTTTGACTGGGGACACAATAACCAAGGTTTACAGCACTAACCAGTTATGATCACAAATGAAAAATACAAGGTAGCAATCGTAGGGTTCAACGATTTTTTATGTTCCAAACGTGCCTTACGTGCCTTTTCATCAGGACAGTATGGCTAATTGTTGGTGGTTCATAAGCCTGCATTGGTCGTCCATGATTTGGGGGTCACCTAAAAGGTCGGGCTGGATCCTCGATGAAGAAACTGAGTAGCAGTAGGATAATCTACAAACACTGTGGATCAAACATATTTTTTTCATTCTACAAGGTGGTGCCCCTCCAGTTAAACGGCTTATAATCCCATTAACTATGGATATATCACCCATAAACCATAGTGACATTGGACTTATAAACCAACTGAACGCTAACTATGGGGCACCACCCTATAATGATGAATCAAGTTCATATATCTGGGTAAATTATAATATTTCACTAACCTGAATTAAGGCCATTTGGGGATGATTTCCCTTATTAACCATGATTCCAGTGAGGGAGAACAGTGGGGTCGTTATAATTTACCCAGATATATGTAAAATGCTTTTCCATAGAAACTGGGCGTTCTCGCAATGGACCTGGCTTTGGATGATCGAGTGGTCGGTCCTGTGTTTCACTGGGTATACCACTGGAGCTGGCCTGGGGCAACCCGCTTCCCAAACAATTTTTTTTAGCCCAGCGGCCAAGACGTCTGAGTGTTCTCGCAACACAGCATGGAACGCCTGTTTGCCTCAAAATGTCTATCCTCTGGTAAGTTAACATAGCTATGGAAAATCTCAATTTTGAATAGGAAAATCAACTATAAATGGCCATTCCAATAGCTACGTTAGATTACCAGAGGGTACTTGGGGCTCTGGGGGCTGCAGTTGGGATTGCTAATGGATATAGGGGTGAGTTCACCTGAGTTAGGAAAGTTTACCCCTAAAACTATTGGGACATATATCCACTTAGTTCACTGGAACTGCGCGGAAAACTGCACCAAAAAACGTCCAGAAACGGTCATGTTGGTGGCGTCCGGTTGCTCCATTTTCCATGGTCAATCCAAAACTGGTTGGTGGTTTCAACCCCTTTGAAAAATATTAGTCAGTTGGGATGATTATTCCCAATATATGGAAAAAATGTTCCAACCAGAAAAGGTAGTCCATAGAAAATGGTCCTCTTTTGCTCGTTGGCTGGTGATTTTTTTCCTATCCAGTCGGTTGGGTATGATTAGAAAGGGATGACTGATTGAAATCCACTGTGTAGCTGCGCCTAAACTCCTAAACATTTGACTTTATCTCTGAGTGCGATCACTAACCAAGAGGGAAAAATCATTTCAACATGTTTGAACGTGATAGATTTGAACATGGCCATAGACGTCGGGCAAAACTTATCTACCCTCTGGTAATTTAACATAGCTATTGAAAATTGCCATAGAAATAGTTGATTTACCCATTTAAAATAATGATGTTCCATCGTTTTGTGTATGTTTACCAGAGGATATTTATTCTTTGGCTGAACATGTCCCATCATGGGTTCAGCGAATCATTTTTGGTATGCTCCAAAATTGAAAATTGAAATTACCCCCTGGTTATTTAACATAGCCATGGAAAATCCCACCTATAAACGGAGGTTTCTAGCTGGGAAAATCATCTATTTCTATGGGTCATTTTCCATAGCTACGTTAAATAACCAGAGGGTACATGAAATTGCATTCTTTTTAAAAACATTTTGGGTGGCAGTGGTAAGTTTACTCAACGTACCATTTGACCAAGTTCAAAAATGGGACTGTCATGCATATCTCTCTCCGTGCTGGAAACAACAGGGACTGTCAACTGTCAAGCTCCAAAATCTGCTAATCTGCGACTTTTTTCAGTGGAAAAACACAACAGAAAATAAACATGTCCTACTACCAGTCCTTGACCTTATGGTTTTACAAGCTTTCTGTACTCCATCATAGTCAAGCAAACCATGGCTCCTCAAGACGCTATTTACAGGTTAAAATACAAATTAATCATATCAGAATTTACGTCAGATTATGTTCGAACTTGTGTCAGAATTTATATCAGAATAAATGTCAGCGTACATTGTATGTATATACATATGTCTATATATATATATACATAGAAATGTGCAATGTCTTTGTCGGAATAATGAATTGTGTTGGCCATAACACAAAGTAAGTTATTATTTTAGTCCACTGCCTCCTGTGAGTGCCAACGGATATCAGGATAATGAAATAGCTCATAGGGATGGCTTTTTGTCGCCGGGCAAAAAAGTGGTATCCCACGTCGAATTGCTATTTTCAAAATCCTTTTACTTTCATGTGGCTAGGAAACTGTTGCTTCTCCATGTCACTCTGATCTCTATATATATATATATGTATACATTGTTGTTTGTGAACAACATCCTCCGAATTATATCCCAAGTTCATGTAAACTCAATACCTGTTGCTCAACCTTGTCATATACGCCAACTGCAGGTTGGTAAATGTCTCGTAGGTTCGGGATTTTCACAAACAGCCGTATCTCTGAAGTGATGACACATCCCCCGTGGGTGTCTTTTTCAATGAGGTGGTTGATTACCAAGCCCTTTGTTTTTCTGGGGTCTGTTACCAATTCCCTCTGGTAATTTAACATAGCTGTTGAAAATGGTCCATTTATAATTGATTTATATACTGGTTGGTGTTTTGAACCCCTCTGAAAAATATTAGTCAGTTGGGATGATTATTACCCATATATAATGGAAAATAAAACATGTTTGAAACCACCAACCAGTATTAAAATGGTGATTGTCCATAGTTCTGTTAGTTTGCCAGAGGGTAAGTGTTGCCATGGCCACAACGTTGCACCACAACTTGAGGGTGCATCCAACGAATCGTGAAAGGATCAAACAACACCAGATAGATGAATGGAATCTCCACTATTAGTATGGGATGAAATATGGGTTAGATTCACTAATCCCCCTTAAAATTCACAGGATGGGGCCCCCAAGATAGCTAAGTTGCCTTACAAGTGGCTTAACTATGGTTTGTGGTAGATATAACTATAGTTTATGGGGGTGATAATGGTTTATAAACCAACAACATAACTGAAGGGCACCATCCTGCATGGTAAAATCACAATTTTACAAATGACAACAGATTACTGTACAAAAAACACGGAGCCGATGCGTAAAGCCAGGGCCCAAGAAGTCATCTGCATTTGGATTATCATCACACTGTAGTGGTTAATAACCATGGTAAATCCCCAGTGGTTACGTCATAGGGCTACCACAAATCATCAAGTCATTATATAGACCAGTTGAGTATTGAAATCCCCAGCAATTTGTTGGGAAAGAAAACCCATTTTAGCAAAGCTCCATAGAGTCATCCAGTAACATCCAGTGGGTTTATCCCATGTAGCGGTATGGAGTCTGCAAGGGGCCCCAGTTACTAACCATTTGAGCAGTGTCCAAAATCCTTCCATGATACTGGTTGTGTAATGTAGATTTTTGGATTGTTGTTGTTTAATATAGATTCCCCGTTTTCGGATTATTGTAAACCCCAGTATATAAAGGGTAGATCAGATCCCCGAACTAATCATCACCAGGGTTTTGTTGCCACTGAGTCGCCCAAGAGCAGCGCCCGACTTTGCTCACTGCAGGTTCCCACGCGGCCACAATGCCTCCATCCCTGCATCATGATGAATCATGAGGGGGATCCAGGTTGAACTGGTGTATAACGTGTATGATATATCATATTGGTGATGTTGTGATTTGTAAATGTGGGGGAGACGTTGTGATTTGTAAATGCTCTTTGTAAAGATACTAAGTATAGTATACGTTCAAAAACCACCTCGTCAAAAGTCGTATAGCGGAGCTGTGCACTAGGCGAGGGTAGCATCAATGCCGCGGATTGTGTTGAAACCCGTGGCGCCGAAGGAAACATTACAGTGAAATTCAACCTACTGAGAGGTAACCGACATTAAACTCGCCATCAAAAAACATTGGTTTTAGTCAAAATCGGATGCAAGACAAAACGCAGAAAAAAAAAACGCAGGAAAAATTAAACCCTTCTATGTATATATATATATGTATGACAATAAAGCCACGGAATGAGGTATGGAATTTTTACCAACTTGGCTACACATTAAATAGCCTCGATATGGACCCCAAAAACCTGAATCGATCAAGCAGAAAAAACCTGGGTTTTGTTTAGGGGGTATTCAATCTTACGGGATAAATATCCATGGAAAATTTGGAGCGTGCCAGGAAAAAATAAAACAAAATGTGTATAAGATGCTGATAATCATACCATATAGTAAATATAAAAATGTGGTAAACCCAATGGCATAAACCATCTCCGAGGATAAACTTGAATGAACCATCCCTAATTTGACTGAATGAAATTAAGTACATACATATAAACTATCAAATAAAATAATGAAATCTAATGCAATACAAAATAAAATATTATGATTTGATACAATACTATATAATTATATAATAATAACATGATAATAGATAAAAATGTAATAGAATAATAAACTTCAAAACATACAATATACCAGTAGTACCGCACAAGGCGGCGGCGGAAGTTTCAAGGATAGGACACTATAGGAGAGGTAAGTTGTTGTGATGCATGGATAGCAGAGCAAATCCACTGATGGACCGAAAGGTGGTTGGAGCTGTGCTTCTTGGAGTGGTTGCAATGGTTGCAAAGGTCACATCACTCACAACTCCTGGATGTAGCCTGGTGTAGCGCAGTAGTTGTAGTTGTAGTTGTAGTTGTAGTTGTAGTGGGGCTGATGTTTTTGAAGTTGTAATGTTGTAGTTGTAAGTGTGGTTGTAGATGTAGTTGTAGTGAAGTTGAAGTTGTATACAATTGTCTTAATTGTGGTACTTGTAGTAGTTGCAATAGTTGTAGGAGTTGGAGTTGTAGTTGTAAGTGTAGCTGTAGTGTAGTTGTAGTGTAGTTGTAGTTGTAGCTGCAGTTGTAGTGTAGTGTCGTGGTAATTGTTGTTGTAGTAGTGTATTTGAAGTTGAAGTTGTAGTTGAAGTGTCATTCTAGTGTAGCTGAGGTTGTAGTTGTAGTTGCAGCTGTAGTTGCGGTTGCAGTTGTAGTGTAGTTGTAGTAGTTGATGCAGTTGCAGTCGTAGTTGTAGTTGCATTGGCAATTGTGATTGTAGGTGTAGTTGTAGTAATTGTAGTTGAGGTTGTAGTTGTAGTTGAATTGCAGTTGAAGTTGAAGTTGTGATTGTAGCTGAAGTTCTTGTAGTTGAAGTGTAGTTGAAGTTGTAGTTGTAGTGGTAGTGTAGCTGTAGTTGTAGTTGAATTTGTAGTTGTGTATGGTGTAGTGCAGTTGCAGTTGTCTATCTATCTGTCTATCTATCTGTCTATCTATAAATCTGTTTATCTATTTGTCATTCTGTTTATCTACCTATCTATCTATCTGCAAATTTGAAAACGAAGCTATTCTGCGAGACTTCCTCAATGTTTGAACTTGACAACGTCAAAAACGAAGCTATTCTGCGAGACTTCGTCATTTTTTAAAGTTGACAACATCAAAATCGAAGCAAGTCTGCGAGACTTCCTCAATATTTCAACTTGACAACGTCAAAAACAAAGCAATTCTGCGAGACTTCCTCATGTTTCGAACTTGACAACATCAAAAACGAAACAATTCTGCGAGACTTCCTTCAAAAATGGAAAGTTGAGGGCAGAGCTGACGGCCTCGTACCATTGCAATTTCTGATTTTTCCATTCCACCTGTCTAAAGTACTGCGCCTGCCACGAAAGTGATGCCAGGTCATACAAAGTGCTGCACTTGTGACGCAAAATCACCTCGGCAAACCTCAAGATCTGATGCTCCAAAATGCAACCCATCTCAGGAAATCAGCGCCCTAACCTTCTAACATCTCTGATGAACATGTCTCTTGTACTGCGCCTGCCACGCGAAATTCATCTTTGCAGATCCTCTGCAAATCTC